GAATAGTTTTTCATATTCATATTTCACCCATCACTACATCCATGTGTAACCACACATGGATACCGCCAACACCAATATCGCATCCGAAGAAGAGGATATTTTTTGTTATTGTTTCAGTCATTTGACTGCCTCATATTTTCCTCGTCATGTCTTTTAATCCTGAAAGAAAAAAAGAAAACATTTATCCAATTTGTTATTAATTATTTTGATAAGCACTTACCCTTTTTCCATCATTCATTGTGAATGAACATATACCACCAGCAGCAACCAACTGAAAACACCAAACAAATATAATCACCTCCAAAGCATTCTTCTGAATGTACCTCGATGGGAAATATTTGCACCAAACCAAGCAGCAGCTATATTTGTCGTCCCCATCTCTCCTTTTTGTAATTTTTTTTAACAATATTATTCGGATTCACCGATTCACCAATCCGATAAAAAAAAATGTAAACAAAAGATCTATAGGGATTCTTAGATCGAAAACTGACCTTTTTGCTTTTGATGGCGTTACTACACCAAACTGTTCTCAGGTGAAATGTTGTACGATCGGCAGTACAAATTGTTTGATATGTCAATGTTGAACAACAAATCGCATCATATCCAAACAAATACATTAGAATAATTTTTATAATTTTTATGATTATAAAATAATAATAACAATTATAGTAATATTGATTAATAATATTAACCAAAAAAAACATAAATAAATTATTAAATAATTAATGACATCACCGCCCCCTACAATTGCCGCCGAACATTAAAAATTTGTAAGATCCCTCTATATGGATCGCCAAACATTAAAAAAAAAATGTAGGATCCACCATAGTTGGAAAAATCCGATTTTTCATCACTGGTATGAAACCCCAACGTGTGAGGTTAACCTTAAAAAGAATCACAGTGAACAACCAGTTTGTCACATTGATTAAAAGAGGTCACCAAAAGTCAACCAATTTTATTACTTCAAGTGGTGAAAATTTATCATTAAAAAAATAGAATATAACGATAAAATTGTAAAAAGATACAGTTATATTTTTTGTTTAAATCGATAATAATCCGGATAATTTTGTTGGTTAACAAAATTTTAAGATAAAAAAAAATCGACTGAACAAGATATTCAGGTGAGAATCTTTTATTGAAACATATTTTTTTTTTAAAAATCCATTTTCTTTAAATATGAAAAATATTTGTTATATTCCATAGAATATAGTGGTAAACAAAAAAATACCACAGCTAAACTATTTGCTGATTTTTTTAACCGCGGCAATCAGCAAATACAAGCTGTGAAATAAAGGCGGATACACCACATATCACAAACATATTTCTATGGTGACAGAAATAACAAAATGAGCCTAAAAGAAACCCCACAAAACATTAATTAAAATCCTCAGGTTTGGAAAATAGAACCAAAATTTGAGTGAGTACCAAAACCCAAAAAAACTTGCTATAACCTCAAACCCAAAAGTTGCCATAAAGAGCCATAATCTATTGATCCACGTGATTAAATTGGTTACATCATTCACAATAATTACATAACCATTTTGATTTTTGTAAAGAATATTTTAAGGCGTTGGTAATTGCATTACAATTATATCGTATTAGGGGTATTCACGAAAATATCCTACAATAATTAAATATGATTTAAAATAATTAAAAAATAAAAATATATAATTTGCATATAAAAATTCAATGATATACGTTAATATAATCTAAAATTAATTTTTAAAGAAAAAAATATGAAAAATTAAAATAAGATACCTAAAGTAAATATTAATCAATAATGCTAATTTAAAAATACATATAAATATAAAAACAGATAAATAAAAGAAATTGTATATATAATATATAATAAATAAAATAATGTAAGAAAACATAAAAATAAGTGCATGCTATAAAAAGTTAAAAAAGACATATTATATATTATAAAAATTATACTCTAATCACAAACAATAAAAAAAAAATACTATTAAAATATTGTGTAAAATATTTAAAAATTCTATAAATTTAAATAAATTTGTTTAGAAGAATAATAAAAAAATTTAAATTTGTAAATTTAATTAATAAAAAAAAACGCAATTAAAAATGAATATTATTTATCTGATGATTTTTTGAAACTTGTTTATATTTAATCAAAATGTATTGATTTCTAAACTAAAAATGGGTTGAAAATTAATTAGATAGCGGCTGATTTGATTGTGTTTGGGGTATTTTCAAAAATTAATGGCATGAAAATACCATGGCTGACTGAAACATGTCATAAGGGGAGGGAAAAGCCATTGAGGTGTAACATCTAAACCTCGTTAAAGTGGAAATCTATATAGTGTTCAATTTAAACTATGGCATAAGGGTACAATATTATGGAATACATCCGATTGATATATTTAAATTTAACTTATCATTTATTTAACTTCGTTTGAATTCAAAAACAGGTATAAAATTTTATATTGACATTTAAAGCGGAAAGAATCCACCCATTTCCGGCGAGCTAAGCCGCAGCCTAAGACCTGCATACCAAATCCGCTTAAAACTAGTGTCACAGCTTTATGCCTTGATCTTCCAAAAAACACGATGTAAAAGGGGACACCAATTGTTACGTTCTTGGACTTCACTTATTCCCGTGTAGACGTTGTTTTATTTCCCGATACAGTTCGTACCAAATAAAACGCGGGTTCGTTCTGATTACGATTATTACAATGATTTTATTCACACAACTTTACTTTGCACTTTACTTTACACGACGGTTTCAATTCGCGATCTGATTCACAACTGCTGCCTTTCCATTTCCCCTATTTATATGAGCCTTGCTTGTCGCTACAGAAGTTTCTAGACGATCTGGTAACACCTAGATCACGAACAATCTACCAATGCAACAAACACACATACAAACTTACATTGAGTAAACAATAACAACAACACATATACAGGCGAGGGAATAACAAAGAAAGAGGAATGACGTTTAACAAGAATTGTACGACAATAACAAAATAGAAAATGAAAGAGGAAATGGAAGGATGTAGAAAAATCTATACAGTAGTTGTTGTTGTGAATTTATTCAAATAAACTGCGTAGTAGAAATTTACGTTACAATTCAAATTCTTAAATTAACGGAATTCATCTAAATTAACTTAAATCTAAAGTTATATTCGTAACAATACGAATTTTTCCTTCTCAAGAGAGAAAACTGCAAAAAGTAAACGAACAACATCCAGTAAAAAGATTGTTTCGACACAGCTGATTAAAACAACAAATTGGCGCAAACTAAAAAAAGGCATTTTTATTAGAAAAATGGATAACAAGCGGAAAATGGATGTTGTTTGTTCCCCACAAACATTTAAAAGGGTTGTGACCGGTAAGTTTTAACTATTTAATGACACAAAATCAAAATAAAATTCACAAAACAATCAATTTTCTTGAGAACAATTTTTTGTTTGTTTACAAAACATAACAAAACAGCTGTTTAAATTTCAGCTGATGGTACAAGAAAATTCTTACTGAGTAAATTTTCCTTTTAAGAATTTGAAATACTCAGTAACACAACTGTCTAATCTGCTCTCTCAATTCACTCTCTTTTACTGGACTTTTGGGTAAACGAACAACATTTTGTAATAATTTGTACAAATTCGTACAAATTATTGAGTAAACGAACGAACCTAATGTAACATTTTCAAAGTGATTGGTATGTGTCATGGTACAATTATACAAGGTAACTGCAATACTCAACTGATTTCATTGTATCGCATGGTATAACTATACAACGTAGTCCCATGCAGTCATATGTTTTCAATTTTTTCATAAATTTGCTTTTGACAACATTCAACTTTCAAAATTTAAACGAAATAGTTTTCCTTCAAAATGTACGCTAATCTTGTGTCCTGTGGCAAATATTTTTGAATCAATTATATTTATTAATATTTTTAGGTTCCCTGCCTATAAAAGCTATAAATTTATAACATTCTAAGTTAAATTTTGCGAACAATGTGGAGCTTTAGAAAAAATATTTGTTTTTAATTTGTTGAAAATTTGCCAATCCCCATGCGTAACATTTTATGGTATTTATTGTTCATTTTATTTGAAATTGATGTATGAATTCCATATTAAAAAGGGGTGCCATTTCAGCATTAAAATTTAGAGGAAACCAGAAAAAAATACAACACAATTTTGAGAAATGTTTGACATATATCTTTGAGATATTACCAATTCTGCTGACGATGGAAAAATATTGTAACGCGTTTAATATTTTTCCGAACCGGACAAGTATACATTCTCAAATCAAAGAAATCGCAACAGAGATTAAATTCGTTGCCCCTTCGTTTACAATTTACTTCAGTTTCCTAATGGGAAAATTTGAAGCAGGAAATCCCTTGGCAATGAAAAAATTGTTATTTTCAACGCTATTTTATTTCAAAAATATTACATTTTTAAAATAAATCAAATTTATTAATATTTCGTATATTTTGTTTAAATTTTTCGACATATGAAACTGACACGAGTGTTACATACAATAACAAATTTCTATGTGGTTGTAGTTGAATTGTTTTTGTTGTAGTTTCGCAGTTAATTCAATTTATTCAATAATTATAACAATAAAAAATTAAAAATATTTTATACTATAAAATACAACCCTGCGTCTGGCAACGTCATGACAGTCGAAGGAAGTGACTTTCGCGATAAGAATGCGACTATATTTCGCAACTGTTCCCATCGCCTAGGCGTCACTTCTTCTTCACGTCCGCGATAGTTTTAGCTTGCAGTACTGCATTGTTTCTTTCATTTGGCGTATTTGCGCGTTTACGTGATGGCTATAATTAATCTAGTCCCCCTAGTTTCGTCCAGTGAATAATTATTTTGTAGCATGTGGAACGTTTTTACTTTTGTTGGGTGAAAAAAAAAACATTGAAGTTTAGTCTTGGAATATGAGGAAAAATTGAACTCGTTAACTGGACCATCAGCACCAACCAACATAACAGCACGCCAGAAGACTTGTGGTAAATACATAACAAATGACTATCGCCCATGTCGCCATGGAAGTGCAAGTAAAAGGTCATGATCAAATGACAGAAACTCGTCCGACAAGCAGCACATTCGACAATGGGCAGAGTTTCTGTCAAGGAACTGGCATTCCGGAAAAAGCAGTAGCCGCTGGTGGCGATAGCACAACTGTAATTATGGCAAATAGTAAATTTCACATAGATACGTATCCGAACGCAGGGTCGGACAATAACTTTTGTGAAGAAATTGGACATGAGGCAGAGTTCTTACATGGAGATGAGGCAGCCCAATATCTGCTGAATGAACAACAGGCTCAGCATCACCAGGTAACTTGGCTGGACGACGAAGATATCGATACACTCGATCTAGCTACGTTGGATATTGGAAACATGTTTAATCGAGTGGACAGCGCGGAAATTATATACCAACAGAAAAAGAAAAATATAAAAATGGTTGGCAAGTATGTAATGGGCGATGTGTTAGGTGAAGGCTCGTATGGCAAAGTTAAAGAGGTGCTTGATTCCGAGAACCTTTGTCGAAGAGCTGTAAAAATATTAACAAGACGCAAATTGAGACGTATACCGAATGGTGAACAGAACGTACAAAGAGAGATCAAGTTATTAAAGCAGCTAAAGCATAAAAATGTAGTGGCGCTATTAGATGTTTTGTACAACGACGAGAAACAAAAGATGTATCTTATAATGGAATATTGCGTTGGAGGGCTTCAGGTATGTCATCTGGTGCACTAGATAAATATGGCTTAATACAGATTTCTGTTTTTTTTTTTAGGAAATGCTTGACAATGCCCCTGAAAAGAAAATCCCTTTATTTCAAGCCCATCGATATTTTCGGCAATTAGTTAATGGCTTGGAATATTTGCATGGCATGCGAGTCATACACAAAGACATAAAGCCCGGCAATCTTCTTTTGACTCTAGACGAAACCTTAAAAATATCGGACTTTGGCGTTGCTGAGCAACTGGAGTTGTTTGCTCCAGACGACACGTGTACAACGGGACAGGGATCTCCGGCATTCCAGCCTCCAGAAATCGCAAATGGTTTGGAGTCATTTTCGGGTACAAAAGTGGATATTTGGAGCAGTGGAGTCACTCTGTAAATGAAATGGAGAAGTTTTACTGTAATTTTGGGTGTTAAGTGAGCATATCATTGCAGGTACAATTTGTGCACAGGAAAGTATCCATTCGACGGCGACAATATTTATCGTTTACTCGAAAGTATTGGTCGCGGCCAGTGGGAAGCTCCCGATTGGCTGTATAAGCTAGATGAGAAGCTTGCGGTTTTAATACTAGGAATGCTGCAGGATAACCCGGAAAAACGCTATTCCATACAGCAAATAAGACAAGACCCGTAAGTCAAATAAACAACATATCGCCGCACTTTTTTCTTTTTTTATAAATCATATGTAATAATTTCAATGTATTGCTTTATTTTTCAGTTGGTTTATTTCGGCACCTGAAGAAAAAGGACCACCGATACCCATTCCGCCACTAAAAAGTGATAAATATCGCCGTTCAACTGTACTGCCTTATTTAGATGCCTACCATTATGAAACTGACCGTGATTTGGAAGAAGTGTACTTCACCGAGCATGACTTAAATCGTAAGTTCAATATCATGTTCGGAAAAGTTCTGACGTATAACATACAATTATTTTGCAGAGGAGTTAGCACGAAAAGCGGCCGCTGCTGCAGCAGAAATTAAGGCACAGCAACAGCATAATTCCTTTGCAACAATGGCAGCTTCATCAAGCAGCTATCACAATGCACAATCTTGTTCCAATTCAGCTTCCCACCACACAAAGGAGAAAAAATCATCCTCATTGAAAAGACGAGCAAAAAAACTCACCTCCTGTATTTCTGTTCGAAAGTTATCCAACTGTCGTCCTTCTTAGATTTCAGAGAAAAAAATCGATCATGTGAGCCCACATCAACTTTTAGATGAACATTCGATCACATGCCATTTATTAAAAAGAAATCCCGCGCAGTAGAGCGTACTTTTTCATATTGCAAGGAGAAATGTAGTTGTTTTTCTTTTCTTTCTTTGTTGGCTTTTTTCATGTAATGAATTGATTTATATTTCTTTGTTGTTATAGTATTTATTCAGTTATATCTACAATCGATTAGACTAAATAATTTGTGTATATTTTTTAAGTTGTTAAACTATACTTATTTTGATTTACAGAATAGTTCATAGATAATAAAACAGTGAAATGGCTTATAATAAACTGTCATTAACTGCACACAAAGGAATACCCATGTGTCTACAGCTATGCTGGCTACAAATATGATAGATGTTCAGTCTAACATTTTGAAGTATGCATGAGAAAGACAATAATCACATTTCAAATAACGTAATAAAATTAAATGGTCAAAAGAAGCGAGGTTCTATGCCTCAAGGGTGGTAGTAATGTTCATTGGAACATTACGGAGCTGGAACATACTCGGGCATTATAAACATCTGATAATAGTGTTGACCCAGTTTTGACAGTTTCTTCTGCATAAGATTCCGCAAGGTGTCAACGTACTGTGCTGGGACTTTACACAATTGAGAATTACGCCACTGCAACCCATTGTTATCGACAGGAAATATCCCAGGCGACGGTACATTGTCCTTCATATAGTTCCACACGCATTCTTTAAGTAATAAGGCTATCTAAAATATTTTAAATATATGTTAAGTGTTTATAAGTCCACACAAAGTGTATTCTCTAACCTCTTGTGGCTCAAAGTGTTCAATAATATTGTGCAGATTAGACAGGGGAGGAGGCAGCAATTGACCCATAGCTAGAATCTTTAAAATGTTCTTTGTTGTTTCCATCAGCTGTCCGCTGGTATTACTAGTTTCAAATTTATTAACTGCAAGAAAAAAAACAGCTTAAAAACCAATTCCATAAATTATTGGGAATAAATACCATTTTTTGCCCTCCACTGGTGTAGACATGTGGCACATAGTGCCCGCAACAAAACGGAAGAGAAGCACAGAGCTGGGCGATGTGCCGAAATAAATCCCAGAAGTGACCAAAGTATAGGAGACGTAAGAAAAGCTCTCCTGATTAGTAAATCTCTTTCCATAGTTACTTTGGTAAACTCCTCATCTGGAAAAGGCAGTCCATTGTACATAACATCGGTTGACACCATTTCGACCAGTAAAAGCGATATCGTGGAATATGACTCAATGACCACTTGACGATCCTAAATGGTGCAATTCAATAAGCATTTCCATACACAATTCATTAAATGAAATCACCTACATTATCAGAGCAACACATTTCCAGGGCTTTTAAGAATAACTTTTGCATTTCTGGTGGACACGCCTCCCCCATCAGTGTATTTTCAGGCCTAAGTCCACGTCCAATCACCCCAGCATGGAGAATGGAACGATTGGAATTTGGCCCATACGATTGTTTTTGATTTTGTACTATAATCATTTCATTTTCAGGAATTAACAGTTCGTCCACCAATGGCTCTTCGTATTGTCCAAACAAATACCCATAATAAAAGAGCGCTCCCTCGATCAATTCCCTTAAGCAGGCCGAACGGGACGACTTCCGTGCTCTACATTGACGCTGGAGTAAATTGTAGGCGCGATTGATTGCCACCATTCGTTGAATAGAACCTATCGATTGAGGAAATATCAATTAATGTAATGCACGCTAAGTCGACTTACAAATCATTCATATTTACTTTGTTCATTAAGACCTATGTAGAAATATTTCACACTCAACACCGCCAATTTTAATACCTGTCAAAAATACATACATCGAAACCGGATATGTGGTAGGTAGACTATAAACAATATGATTTAACGTACCTCAGTAGTCTTTATCACTTGCGTTTTTGAGCCCGCTTCAATTGTATTTAAAAGATCTATGATTGTATGCGCCAACATTAAGCGCTTTGCCATATACTCCATTTCTTCCTCTTCTTCGGAATAATCGGCGAAAATGCCAAGTTTCTGTTTTTTGTGGGAATTGTAAATGTGAATGGTGTTATTGTTCGTTTGGTTTTGCAGATCGCGAAACTTTTCTTCACTGCGTGCACTTGCATCTGCGTCCATTCGTAAAGCAAGTTTTTCCAATGTAACTTCCAATATTTGTAATATTTTAGGCAGGCTTTCATTTAAGGCCGCGCTTAGCTGATGCTGTTTTATGCAGGAGAAACTATTTTTCTTCTCCATTCTGCAAAAGGGGATAGTTTGAATTTTATTAGCAGTAAATACAATATAATTTTAAATAGTTTAAACTTGCTTTGTTATCGCATTTAAATTCTTGAAAATGTTGAGCGCTTCAGATTCGTCCGAGGCCTTTGTAAGACGTGCTTTTTTTAATTGCTCCTGCAGGAGAGCATCTTCCAGCACCATTTGAATGCCCGACTTTATTTCTGGAAATTCAACTACTCCCGACTGACCACCAATCATCCTAATGATCGCACCTAGTCCAGATGACGAAACGGTGTAACATTTGCGCAGTAATTCCGATATAGTTTGATAATATATATGGGTATGCTGGGTAGCTGAATTAAATAAATAACGTGTCAATTGCTTGCGTTGGGCTACACGTCCTTCAATACTTACAGACTACTAGCAACAGTCGCACGGCGGTTTGCTGTTCATAAATGTTTGTACTCAAACAGCTTTTCCATAGCATATACTTCGTTTCTTCCGTTGCCAAGTCGTCCATTAAAGGACAAACGCGGGCATTCAGTACAATTTGCTCTAGTTCTTGCAGGGAAAATTCTAAAAAGTCCTGGCACCAAGAATATTGTTCCGACATTTTAGACACCGTAATCAAAGCTTGAGCTCCATTTGTTTTTAGGCGTAGAACTAAATTATTCAGAGATGGCTGCATTTCAGCAAATAACCGATTTGACAACCACAAGGGAGCCTTCTGTGCGATATTCTTCCTCAAGTCATCGTTGTCTAAAATGACAAAAAAAAATCGTGGAAATTATCCAATCGAATTTCTGAATATCTTCTTCTCTGAATATCTTACACATGTCGAGGAAAACGCTAACAGCATTCTGCAGTAGAATGTCGGAATATTTACAGAACTCCAGCACAAATGGTATTACTAAGGCGTCCAACTTCCTCTTCGGTTGAAAACCATCCTCCAATAGATCTCTGACACAAGCTCGAAGCACTTGTTCGTGGGCAAAGCATAGGTATTCAAGAATACCCAGCTCCGAATCGAACCTACAAGGATAATTGTCGGAAAATCGTTTAAGACTGCACTGTAGAATCTGCGATATGATTTTTGAAGGAAAACATCCTCCCAGGCGTGCTACTACCCAATCAAATGTCATTGAATATCGTTGGTATGCAGCTGCAATAAAATTAAAAATGATATCAACATCCTCGACATTCGTTTGTTTACCTCAAGTCACCTACATAGTAATGTCTCAACGCACGATTCCGCTTCGGCGTTCGTCAGTTTCCTAAAACAAACGCTCACCAGAGAAAGTAATCCGCGCATTGTAGAACAGTTCAGCCAGAAATTACAAGCTGCACCAATCGGCATTCTTTTGCTGTATTTATCAGACAAACTCCCAACAAGCTCCAGACTCCATGACGCTATAACAGCTGCCCAAGCACTTGGTCCTTTGTTTACCATATTATCCAAGGCTTGTTGGATCATTTCGAAACAAGGGTCTTCTTGTGAAACCACCAGTTGTTGTTGCTGTGGATTCCCTGATTTATGTTGCTGTTGTATTACCATGCCGGTCTGAGGATCCACATTGGCCGTGTTCACATAACTTTGTACGCCCACTTCAGCCACCAGGGCAAAGTATTCGAAAACAATTTCTCTGCAAGACGGAAGGTCATCCAGCAAGTGCAGTGAAGTTCTAATCAATCCAATTGATGTTAAACTACTACTGCTGCGATGTATCGTGGACACAGACTGAATAAACTGCTTAAGTTCCACCAGAACATGTTGCTTCAACATGATTTGATTTTTAGCAGGGCTTTTGAAGCCTTCTTTACAAAAATGTTGTCTTTTAAGTTTGAACCGTGACTTTAACTCGAAGTTTAGCCAATGCAGAGCTCGATGGTGAAGCTCGATTGAAGAAGCTCAGTATTAAAAGGATGGAGTGACGATCGTTTCGTTGTAATGCCAAGCTACATTTAATCCATGGGTACTGGCTGTACCTTCTTTGTTGGCCACTCCAAGTTGTCCAAGTTGTTTAAACTGTTTAAAAGTTATTTTGTTTGGTGACGACGGAACGAACGGAACGACGCGTGCTTCTGTAGGACTGGACTTTTCACGGTCTGAAGAAAAAATGAAAAACGTTCCACCTGCTACGAATAGGAGGAGAAGACAAAATGACCAATAAAGATGAACTCAAAGTGGATTAACGGAAAGTTTACGAATGATGTGGGAGAGAGACACTGCCCGGTTGTTCAAAAAATATCAATTATCTTGTATTACATAGTTATATAGCTAGTTACATAGTGATCGAGTTACTTTTTATCCACAAATGGAACACAAAATAGACAGTTGGAATTATTTATCGATTGAAAAAGTTGTCTAGGTATATCATTCCAATTCAGTAGTTACTGGTAATGCAAAGTGTAATGAATGAATCGACTTTTTTATAGATATAAATTATCGATGGCAAAACAAAACAGAACAGTTGTCTTGTCATTTTGTTTCGACTTTTTAGTATTTTTAAAGGCAAAACAGAAATTTGTTTTTCGCAAAAATATTCGTGGTGTACCATATTAAGTGATGTGGAACTTGAATTTCTATATTCGAAAGAAATACATAGGATAAATCTGAGGTAAATTTTGATTGAGGTTTTCTAAAGATTTCGCCCTTTCAGATTGAGAGAACACACAAAGGGTTAGGGACGGATCCTTCAAATAAAATTTTACATGCATTCTGTAGACATTTAGAAACGATACAGGAAGAGGTATCGCCCATAAAGGTCCGAAATACATCAATAAATGCTCAAGAGATATTCTACCAATTTTCTATAGGTGAGTTTTCGGTGACAAAAAGACCTTCATATATAAATCTTTAGTCATTTTTAAATCCCTATCTTCTCTTCAGATACATATATATCTACTACGGCGACAAAAGCACGCGAACTGGGGAATTACATATGGATCAAACAGTATACAATAATCTATTATAAAAAAAATTAATGAATAAATTTACGTGTACAGAATTAATTTTATAAAATATTTCAAATTTTCCAAACTGTTGTACAAACTAATTTGTTATATATACGTAACTAGGCATTTGGTTTATACATTGTATCTACCTAAGTAGCTGACTATAAGACACTAGTCAAATGCACTACCATTTTGTACTACCTAAATGACTGTATACTGGTAACGCAGACAGGGGACAATTGACTTCCCCAATGACATACCCATGTTAAATTCACCAGTCTAGGGCATGATGTGGTAACTAGTGGTAGTTACAGGTAATTGGTAAAATAACTAGTTCATAACCAGTTACTCGAACTACTGGGTGTGTTGTTTACACACATACACTCACAGCAGCTGCAGTCAGAGAACCGAGCCATTGTGAAATGTTAATGTGTGACGGCGCTACTGACGAAAAACGATCAGCTGCGTTTGGTGTTTGGAATGTAATTGTACGTTTACATAATACTGTATTTCGTTAACCAAGTGGGGCGGGTTATACATGGTACAATTATAAAAGGTAATATGAATATGACAAATTATGTTTTTAAAAAGCACCCAACAGGAAAATTGGGAACGCATACAATTTGAAATTGTTCTTTATTAAATGTGCTCCCGTATTCAATTTACTCAATCTGCCTGCTGGGAAAGTTTGAGGAAGCAAGGTTTCTTCATGGAATAACTCACAATTCCCTACATTTTCATATTGTTACCTTCTATTATTATACCATGTGAGTTATAATTGTTAATTCTATTGTATATATGTAAAAGATATATTCATAATGCAGGTTAACCCGGTAAAAGTTCTAATATAATGTTGTTTTATTGATTACATAATAAATTATTCACCCTTTTTACGGCTGGCGTAGTGGTGTTGAAAATTTGGCACTGTCGTATTTTTACGACAAATCGTGAAAGATTTTATTGACGACAGCATAAAAATAACTAGGAAAATAATTTTAACATTTTTTAACAATATTTACTGATTAACTATGACATTCGAGTTTATTTTATTGCATTTCTTAATATTCATAAGAATTGCACTTTGCCAGAAAATTAATTAGCGTGGTTTTACATTTATCGGGATCGGTATTGAGAGTTTCTCTCTCTCATGGTAAATTGAGAGTAATTAGTGTTGCGCTATTTTTAATTTTGTAACAAGCGTACTTTTTGTTCACAAAAGGTACGAATTGTCATAATCGTACCAAAACAAAAAGTAGATTTTTTATTATTCGTGAATACATTTACGCTTAAATTATAACATATATTATTTATGCAAATAACTGGCATAAATATTGGTCAATATTTCTCGATAATAATGATTTATTATCATTTGACGTAGAATTTTAGGTACCTTTCCGTAATTTGTTTTTTTGTTCCTACCTGTGGTAATGTTTTCCAACACAATTCACAATTTACCACTGAGAGAGAGAGAAACTCTCAACACCGATCCCGATAAATGTAAAACCACGCTTAGAAAACAAACAAAATGAGATAGTTTTTCCAATACAATATAAAAAGGGTTCTAAAAGTACAATTTTTGCTTTGGTTTTGTAATACCGACCAAAAACGACTACGCCTACGAGAGCTGCCGTACAACGACTACGCCTACCATAATTAAATTGCATTAGTCTATGATCCAATAATAAGGCCAAAATGATTTCACCCGAGCTGTCAAAATGCTTTCGATTTTGACTAAATTGTGTGGAAACGTAAACAAAATATTTGACAGTATGGGGATTTTACACGACACGACCTGTTTATTGGATCATGCATTAGTCGGTAAAAGACGAAAATCGTTTTTGAGCAGGTTTGACAAAGATCGAAAATTCAACTTGTTGGTCAGAGGCAAAAATCGAAATCGACATTTTTACTAGATGCAAGTCAAGATCTATTAATAAGGTCACCAAGATAGCAATCGAAATCGGAAAACAGCTGTTTTTTTCTCAAGTCTAATGTCAAAAATTTCGACTTTGTTTACGTTTTCATAATGGAAGTCAATTCACAATAATGCATTTTGACAGCAAACTTGAGAGGTATCGATAATCAGCTGGTCTCCCTTGGTGACCTTATTTATAGGCCATGATGCAAGTCTTTACTCTCGACAACATATCCATACCGATTACTATGTCGTCGTTTTTAAAATCATCGGCGAAGCGAAATGGGTCTTAAAATATAAAAGAATCAAAATAAACACTGACTAAATATGAGGAGCAGCTACGTCGAAATTCGATCCTGGAATTTGCCTGATGTTTATCGAACTATTTTTACAACGACAATGCAATAGTGACGCGATCAACACATTCCACTAAGAAGCGTAACGCAGATCAATCTCAAGCGTTTCCTTTTGGTTGTTGTTATATACAATGTAATTAACAATTTGTACGTTTACGTTATACCGGATTTAGTTAACCCAGTAGGTTTCAATTGTCAATTTCATTGCCTATTTGTCAAATACATCCTCATAAAGTAGGTTAACCCTGCAAAATGTTGTAATGTAAATGTCGTTTTAGACCCACTGGGTTAATGTAATCCGGAACAATGTAAACGTACTATTACCGATTTAATTTAAATTTATTACCAATAAATTTATTTCTGTTAAGGTAAGGTCACACTAGGCAAATATTTGACGAAAAGTGTCAAATATTTCTTTGCCATAATCTGACCACAAAATATTTTCAATGGCAGACACAAAAACAGCTGATTTTGGGTAAACAAAATTTTGCGCAAAGTGTCCACAATGTGAACGCCGACTAGCAAATATTTGCCTTATTTTTGGGCAAACATTTATTTGCCCTTACAATATTTTTGTACGGGCAAACTATGGAAAATAACAGCTGATGAATTCTTTGTATTGGCATTTATATTGTTGGAATTTCGCCATTTCGTTTGAAGACAAAATATCTTTGACACATTATTCAATCAAATATTTCATTTTTTATGAGTGGAAAACATAATTTCAGGCCCATCCAATCCGAATTTTATTACCAATTGGGATCTAATTTGGGGATGGTTATTAAAATGTTCGGAGCGGCTGAACATAATCGCAAATTATTTCATTCATAATTCAAATCATGGCAAGATCTAGCTACAGCCTCTTATATACGTTACATCCGATTTAATATATAAGCTAATTCCTTAAGGGTATGATGTATATTGCACTGTTTAGAACAATTGCGTAAAATACCTTATTAATAACTTATAAAATATACGACAGGATTTAAAAAATAATCGAAGTTGGCCATAATTTCTGACAGTTTGATCAAACTGTTTCATGGTGCAAATATAATTTCCAATGTGTTTTCCCATTTCATTATTTGACACTATTTGCTCACTGTTTGAGCAATCAAAATGTGTCAAATATTTGAGTGTAATGTGAACACAAAATCAAGAATGTGCAAATTTGACATTTTTTGGGGAAACAAAAAATAGGCATTTGAGTCAAATATTTGCGTAGTGTGATCTTAGCTTTAGACTTTTTTCAGGGGAACGACCATGGTACAATAATACAAGGTAGGGCAGCTTGAGGTGAATAACAAAAAAGGAACTATACAAAATATAGAATACAACATATAAAAATAAAATAAATTTAAATTTTTTTCAACATAAAACTAAAAACGCGAAAAATTAATGAAAGGTTATATTTGACATAGTATTCAAAACAATACGCGCACACACACAAAATATGTATTTTGATTTGATGGAACAAGCCACCTGTGTAGCTGTGCCCTACCTTGTAATGGGAACGACTTTTTGTGAAATTTTTTTAAAATTCCCAGCGGTAACACTGGTTTTGAGCACCAATGCCTTTAAAGCTACAAGCTAAACGTGCCTTTAGTCTTTTCAACACGAAAAGTCTATTAGTATAAAGTCGACTTAAGTATCCCTACATTCATGTGGATTTGAGGAGGAGGAGTCTATCCAGGATTGAAGTCAACAGTCTCTCATTTTATTGTTCAGCGGTATGGAGAAATCGACAACTACAATGGGTGACACCGAATGGCATGGTGACAAGAAAAACTGGTCGAATCCCATTAAACCGTTAGAAGAAAAATGGAAACTCGTGCCGGCTTTTCTGCAGGTTAAAGGCTTAGTCAAGCAACACATTGACTCTTTCAATCATTTTGTGAATGTGGACATTAAAAAAATCGTACAAGCTAACCAAACAGTGCTGAGCGATGCTGATCCTATGTTTTACCTGAAGTATCTGGATGTACGAGTCGGAACGCCGGACATTGAAGATGGCTACAATATTACAAAAGCAACAACACCACACGAATGTCGTTTAAGAGACACTACCTACTCTGCCCCCATAACAGTTGACATTGAGTATACACGAGGAGCACAGAGGATCGTTAGAAACAACTTGTTGATAGGTCGAATGCCCGTAATGCTAAGATCTTCAAACTGTGTACTCACTGGTAAATCGGAATTCGAATTGGCAAAACTAAATGAGTGTCCCTTGGATCCTGGTGGATACTTTGTTGTAAGAGGACAAGAAAAAGTTATATTAATTCAGGAGCAACTGTCTTGGAATAAAATGATTACGGAAGAATTTAATGGAACGGTGCAGTGTCAGGTTACCTCGTCCACACATGAGAAGAAATCCAGAACTGTTGTCCTAAGCAAGCATGGTAAATACTATTTAAAGCACAATTCAATGGTAGACGACATTCCGATAGTTGTCATATTCAAGGCCATGGGAGTAGTTTCAGACCTTGAAATAATGTCGCTGATTGGTACAAGTACGGAAACCCAGAACCGATTTGCGCCATCGTTGCTCGAAGCTTTTAATCTGAAAATATTTACGCAACAGCGTGCACTTGAGTACATGGGATCGAAACTCATGGTAAAACGATTTCAGACCGCTGCTACTAAAACGCCAGCTGATGAGGCCAGGGAACTTTTAACAACCACAATTTTGGCGCACGTACCTGTTGAAAATTTCAATTTTCAAATAAAATCAATATATGTTTCACTAATGGTTAGGCGCGTGATGGCTGCGGAGTTGGATGCTTCCGCTGTGGACGACAGAGATTATTACGGAAACAAGCGCTTGGAATTGGCCGGCTCATTAATATCCCTAATGTTTGAGGATTTGTTTAAGCGTATGAATTGGGAATTGAAAATGATAGCCGATAAAAATATTCCCAAAGTTAAGGCGGCACAGTTTGATGTGGTGAAGCATATAAGAGCCGCCCAGATAACTGTTGGATTAGAGTCGGCTATATCGTCGGGAAATTGGACTATAAAACGTTTTAAAATGGAGAGGGCAGGAGTTACACAGGTTCTCTCTAGGCTGAGCTATATATCCGCCCTAGGAATGATGACAAGAGTAAATTCTCAGTTTGAGAAAACAAGAAAAGTATCCGGCCCACGTTCTTTGCAACCCAGTCAGTGGGGTATGCTGTGTCCATCCGACACGCCAGAAGGCGAAGCGTGCGGTCTTGTGAAAAATCTTGCTTTAATGACACACATAACCACTGAGGTTGAAGAGGAGCCAGTAGTACGACTGGCCTTTAACGCAGGAGTGGAGGATATTCGTTTGGTCGGTGGGGATGCCATTAACAATTCCAAAGTGTTCCTCGTCTTCATTAATGGTAACATTCTGGGCTTGACAATAAGTTACAAACGATTGGTGGAGGTATTTCGTATGATGAGACGTAAAGGTCGTCTAGGACCATTCGTGTCGATACATACATCCCACACACAAAGGTGTGTTTACATTCATACTGATGGTGGTCGCTTGTGTCGTCCTTACATCATTGTCCATAAGGGTCAACCGGCAGTGAAACAGCACCACATTGAGGAATTGAAAAGAGGTATTCGCAAATTCGAAGATTTTCTACATGATGGTCTAGTGGAGTATTTGGACGTAAACGAGGAAAATGATTCATTTATAGCGTGGAATGAGAACGACATTGACCGTGACACAACAACCCATTTGGAAATCGAACCCTTTACATTGCTTGGAGTTTGCGCAGGTCTGGTGCCATATCCACATCATAACCAGAGTCCTCGCAACACCTATCAATGCGCTATGGGTAAGCAAGCGATGGGTGTTATTGGATATAACCAAAAAAATCGAATAGATACACTCATGTATAATCTCGTCTATCCACAAGCCCCAATGGTAAAATCGAAAACTATAGAATTGACCGGGTTTGACAAGTTGCCGGCTGGTCAAAATGCTACCGTAGCAGTTATGAGTTATTCCGGATACGACATTGAAGATGCACTGATATTGAACAAAGCTTCAATAGATCGTGGTTATGGTCGATGCCTGATATACAAAAATTCAAAATGTACTGTTAAAAGGTATGCCAATCAGACATACGACCGGATTATGGGGCCTATGAAGGATGCACTAACGAATAAGGTCATTTTTAAACACGATGCCCTAGATACGGACGGAATTGTTGCACCAGGCGAGATGGTGGTCAATAAACAAATTTTAATCAACAAGGAAATGCCAGCCGTAACATCCATAAATCCTATTGAACAGACAGGCCAAAGCTCGCAGGTAAGAATCGAGTTTCTTATATACATATGTAGCCTAATAAAATATCGTTTCAGATTTCTTACACAGCGGTACCAATTTCTTACAAAGGCCCAGAGCCGAGTTACATTGAGAAAGTGATGGTGTCGGCAAATGGCGAGGAAGATTTTCTGATCAAAATTTTATTGAGGCAAACGAGGCGACCAGAAATCGGCGACAAATTTAGTTCCCGCCATGGTCAAAAAGGCGTGACGGGTCTAATTGTAGATCAAGAGGATTTGCCTTTCAATGATTTTGGCATTTGTCCAGACATGATCATGAATCCCCATGGGTTTCCGTCTCGTATGACTGTGGGAAAATCACTGGAGCTGTTGGGTGGCAAAGCTGGTCTATTGGAGGGGAAATTCCACTATGGCACAGCTTTTGGGGGCTCCAAGTGCTCCGACATTCAAGATGAGTTATTTAAGAACGGTTTCAACTATATGGGTAAAGATTATTTCTACTCTGGCATAACTGGCGAGAGTTTGGAAGCCTACATTTACTCTGGACCGGTGTACTATCAGAAATTGAAGCACATGGTGCAGGATAAAATGCATGCCAGAGCCAGGGGGCCCAAAGCTGTACTCACTAGACAACCAACCCAGGGTCGGAGTAGAGAGGGCGGTCTACGTTTAGGTGAAATGGAGCGTGATTGTTTAATATCCTACGGCGCCAGCATGCTAATAATGGAGCGACTAATGATATCATCAGACGCATTTGACGTGGATGTGTGTAAGTCATGTGGTCGTTTGGCTTACTCTTCCTGGTGCCACTATTGTCAATCGTCGGCCAATGTTTCGAAAATATCGATGCCATATGCCTGTAAGCTTTTGTTCCAAGAACTAACAAGTATGAATGTAGTGCCTAAACTAAAACTACAGAACTATTAATTAAAACTTATAATTTGATATAATGCCTAATATGAATAAACAAGACAAACTGACCAATTTATGACCTTTTTAGTAAACTGCGTATGTCCCCATCTCCATTATAGGATTTGTTAGTCGATTGTATTATCCAAATATGCAAGGGCCATGTTTATTAATCTAAAATTGCGTAAATGAAAACAGATCACACTTTTAAAAAGTTAAAACATTGACGATTATTTTCAAATCAACAAATAATGAAAACACGTACATACGTATGTGGTATCATTTGATTTTTTTAGTTCAGAATTTCCTTGATATGAAGATAAATCGCAAAAGCAGTTCACTTCTTCTCCATTTACAATTTACCTCATCTGTCTGCTGGGTATGTTTGCAGCAACAAAACATTTACCATTAAACTAATGCAAATTCCTCGCATTTTTGTCTAAGTTTCACACACAGTTGGCAATGGCTAAACAATGGAACAATGTAGAATGTATAAAATTGCAATAGTCATATAATTAAATAAAAAATTTTACGCATATGGCGTGGTTCATTTCTTTGTAAACGCAGGGTAATACATCTACATTGGGTATTTTTTTCATATTGTGGCTTGGTATGACAAATTCGTTTACAAAATGAGTGACTGTATATGTGTTGTTTTGAAATATATAAAATATATATATTCTAAAATCCATTTGTTTATAGATTATTTTTGGCACGGTACAATAACATTGTTACCTGTTGATTAAAATTATATTAGATTGGGGAAAAATAAATCCATTATTTTTTTCTTCTTTGTAAATGGTTTTAAAAACAGTTATGGTCGTTTTTTAGCTCCGGGGCGATGTTACGACTGTTATGCCATGTTTTGACGGGCATTCGAACAACGTAGTTCGCTCTCAGAATTACGTATATGAATTAACCCGTTCATACAACACTATTCTTAATTCATGTCATCAGAGTTTTTGTATTTCAAACTTTTTGTTTCTTGTTTCACACCAAAATTGTAACATATTTGCGTGAATCACATATGGATCCAAATAGAAAAAATAATTCTCTTTCTCCTGACTATAATATCAACCCCTATCTCTTTACTTTTAATTCATGTTTTCCATTTTTTCTGAAAATATTGTTGTTTTCAATACATTTTTATATTTTCTCAACACAAATGTCACATTTAAAAAATGGGAGAATTTTTGTTTGGGTTTCCCCACTTTTGTTTCTTGTTTTGTACGCTAATTAGAACCAAGGGGAAAGAAATGCACATTGCATTATGTAGACAACAAAATTTACATCATTCTGCATATATAAAAACTAGAATTGTGGTTACTTTTCATTCATCATTTTCAATTTTACTGAAAAAGTTTGAAAAATTTAAAAATTTTTTCATACATGAAGAAACGTCGAAATCAAAAATTTCATCAATTAAGGACAAAACAAAGACTACAGAAACCTAATGCACACAAATAAACAAAAAGTTAAACGGCGTCCATTGTGTGATTTTGATAATATTAACATTTATTGTTTATTTTTTACTTGTATAATTTAGTCGAAAACATGATCGAATATTTGGAAGTGGAGTTTCCGACGACTCCGAGTCCGGAAAGGTTTATATGGCTGGACGCTCCCATAATGTTAATGTTAAGGGGCTCCACTCGGATCATTTTGAAATGATTACCGTAAGTAGGCCTCCTTGTGCCGACTACAGTGATATACATTTCATGTGGGGAAATACGTACTTCCCGAGACATTGGCCTTGAAATTTCGGAACAAATTTTGTTTAAAACAACCCTTTTTCAATTGCCACCAAGAGAACTTAAGAATAAGACTTTTACATATGGACAAGCGCAAACATGGCTACGCAATCCATATTCTTTTTTTAAATTGTAAATTAGTTTTAAAGCACAAACCATAACCTTTAAAATGATACTCATATTACCTTGCTGGAAATAGTCAAACTGCTGATTACAACAACATACTCTCCGAACTTTCAAGACCCATATCTCGGGAAGTATGAATTTCTCTCCATAAAATATATATCACTGTAACCAGTTCACCGAGGACTACTTACTGTAAAAATGTCAAAGCGATCCAAGTGGATCCCCTAAACTTTTTTTTTTTTTTTTTTTATTATTTTGGTTGGCCCACTTTCTATAGGGATAGAAGGTTTAGTGCCATGTATCCGTATGTAGCTTTGCTACGAATTTGACTTTATCCATAGATGGTGGTTTGTGTTTTGCAGGTTGACTTCGATCTTCTTTAAGAATTTGACCACAATGTTCAGACTTTCTAAGCCTTGTGTATCAGTGAACTCTTCTACTGTGAAGGAGTCACATAGTAGCGAAAAGCATCTTCTTTTGCTATTAAATTTACGAAAATTAAAAATTTCATGCGCAGCTGTTTGGATTTTGTTGAACGACTCGTAATTTATAGGTTATCCGTATTTAAAAACACACGTGTTAGTTAAGCGAACGCTTAACAACCGCCATTTTGTAAAAATCTATTTTTAAGCCCGTGGGCGTGTAGTACTCATTTAAAATTTTTTTTACGTCTTTCTTGTGAGCCGTCCGAGGACGAACTGATCCCCTAAACTTGACTAAAGCCCAATATATTTTGGGCCAATGTACACACATTGGTTAGTACGATTAACCAATAGAACTTGATGATGCACGTTCCCAACCCAGGTCTTCTTTCTACAGTATCTTCATCTGAATCTTCTGCCAGTCATTCATCTTCGCTATCCTCCAAAAGAGAATAAAAAATCTGTTTGTCCATTTTTTAATTTCTGATTTGTTTTTCATGCAAATGTATGTGCGTGTGTCCCTTTTGTTGAAGCGCTAACTTTCATGTGCTTTATTTCGGACTGAATATCTCTGGCAATCAAATGTCAAATTCATAATTTACTACATTTACTATTTCGTGCTGGGCCAAATTGGTCTTGCAGAAAATAGGAGAAGAGAACGCCATTTTGGTTTCAACTCTCTTAAATTTAACTTAAAATTTTCCTACTTTTCGGCGAAAGGGAACGCTTTTCTAGCAAAAATTGCAAAACTAGTACAATATAGTACTATATTGCAGGTTTGGGAACACAGCTTTAATTTATTTTCGATAAATTCTCTCAATTGTTAGAGATGGGACAAAATTCTTGGTGATTCAAATGTCATGTACAGACGAGCGTTGTTCGCTCTCTCATTCGTTGTTCGACCCTTAATTACGAAGTAATTACTTAGTTCCCCATACAAAATTGTCTGAGCGAACACCGACTTTTGTACGTTGTTCAATTCGAATCACTCTCCGAATCACCACGAATTTTGTCCCATCTCTAACTATTGAGAGAATTTATCGAAAATAAATTAATTTTGACAGCATGAAAAAAATTTTCAAACTTTTTCAGTAAAATTGAAAATGATGAATGAAAAGAAACCAAAATTCTAGTTTTTATATATGCAGAAGGATGTAAATTTTGTTGTCTACATAATGCAATATGCATTTCTATCCCCTTGGTTCTAATTAGCGTACAAAACGAAAAACAAAAGTGGGGAAACCCAAACAAAAATTCTCCAATTTTTTAAATGTGACATTTGTGTTGAGAAAATATAAAAATGAATTGAAAACAACAATATTTTCAGAAAAAATGGAAAACATGAATTAAAAGTAAAGAGATAGGGGTTGATATTATAGTCAGGAGAAGGAGAATTATTTTTTCTATTTAGATCCATATGTGATTCACGCAAATATGTTACAATTTTGGTGTGAAACAAGAAACAAAATGTTTGAAATACAAAAACTCTGATGACATGAATTAAGAATAGTGTTGTATGAACGGGTTAATTCATATACGTAATTCTGAGAGCGAACTACGTTGTTCGAATGCCCGTCAGAACATGACAGAAGAGTAATTCGAATTGAACAACGTACAAAAGTCGGTGTTCGCTCAGACAATTTTGTATTGGGAACCATGGTACAATTATAAAAGGTAACAGCAAATCCCAGCTGATTTGATTCTAACGTTATACTAGTGTCAATATGAATTTGACAAATTATGTTATTAAAAATCACCCAACAGGAAAATTGGGAACGGATACAATTTGAAATTGTTCTTTATTAAATGTGCGTATTCAATTTACTCAATCTGCCTGCTGGGAAAGTTTGAAGAAGCAAATCTTTCTTCAAGGAATAACTCGCTACTCCCAGCATTTTCATATGTGTTACACATATATATGGCAATGGCTCAATTATAGGAAAGATGTGGAAGCTATAGAAATATAAATTTGATAGATTTTTATTCATGTTTTTCAATTTTTATTTTGAGAATTCGAAAATATTTCATTTTAAAATAAAAATAATTTGATGATAATTTGTTTGTTTACATTTTTCTGTCAAATGAGTTGGCACTAGTAGAACTTACAACAACAAATTTACATGTGGTTGTTGTATCGTTTTTTGTACAACAACACTTGCTGTTACCTTCTATTATTATACCATGATTGGGAACTAAGTAATTACTTCATAATTTATGCCATGTTCTGACGAGCATTCGAACAACGTAGTTCGCTCTCAGAATTACCTACATGAATTAACCCGTTCATACAACACTATTCTTAATTCATGTCATCAGAATTTTCTTTTTAAAATTTGTTGTTTCTCATTTTACACCGAAATCTCAACATATTTGTGTATATTGCCTATGGATTTAAATAGAAAAAAATATTCTCTTTCTCCTGAATATAGTCAGAACCCATAGCCATTTACTTTTCATTCATGTTTTCCATTTTTTCTGAAAACTTTGTTGTTTTTAACACATTTTTATATTTTCTCAATTCAAATGTCACATACTGTCACATATACAAATTTGGAGAATTTTTTGTTAGAGTTTCCCCATATTTGTTTCTTGTTTTGTACGCTAATTAGACCCAAGGGAAAGGAAATGCATATTGCATTATGTAGAAAACAAAATTTACATCCTGCTGCATATATAAAATCTATACAATTTTTTACTTTTCATTCATCATTTTCAATTT